TGAGAGAGTGTTTTCTCTCCATGTGACTCTCCTTAGGCACACTCTACATCATCGATCACTTTCCTCTTTGGCCCCATAATTTCCTTGATTAGAATATTTGGGACACTACCAAGGTACATGACGTTACAGTAGAAGTTCTCATATATCCTGAGTCTTAACTGACCTTAGAAGGTTAGGGCCAAAATATTGGCCCTCCTTCTTCTCTAATTTTGATCTGCAAACTTAGGTTGTTAACCATCCAGAAGACAAGCTTATTGTTATTATCAAACTTTTTTTTTTTTTTTTTCGGAACCAGGGATTGAACTCAGACCCTTGCGCTTGCCAGTGAAGTGCTTATTCCAGTGAGCCATCTCCCCGGCCCCCCTTTATCAAATATTTTTAAAGCTACCAATAAGCACCTACATTAACCAGTAGTGGGAGAATAGAGGGGCATGAGGCAGTAAGTTTTCTGGTACACTGAGGAACATGGCAGGACTCACCAATAATCTTACTACTAGAGAAGGTGACTGGTCTATGTCCAACAATGCTTCAGTGTAGGTGGTGGATGTGAGCTGTAGTTACCAGGATCCTTTGACTTCCTAGAATCCTCTTAAATTAACAAGTTGTATCAGTGCCAACACAAGATCCATGGCTGCATTCTGGGGGTCAAGAGGCACAGATCTGAAGAGCTCCATTGGCTGCTGGGAGTTCTTCAAGGTTCTTAAATGGTTGGACCATTCTCCAGGAAAACTCTCTGCCTGCATGCACAGGGTCCAGCATCACAGCTCACCAGAATGCAAGGGCTGCCCAGAGTTTCCTAAGTTCTTAAAAGGTTGGACTGGTGCCAGTACAAGCTCCATACACCTGTGTCCTGGGGGCCAAGGGTTGCCTTTTATTTTTATTTTAGTCTAGTTTTGCATGCTTATGTATAGTAATTTAAACAATTAATTTGAAGACAACAATATGTAACATAAAAACCATTGCTGAATTCCTGTCATTTTCTTTAGCTAACTTCTGTACTCTTTCTTTCTTTCTTTCTTTCTTTCTTTCTTTCTTTCTTTCTTTCTTTCTTTCTTTCTTTCTTTCTCTTTCTTTCTCTTTCTTTCTTCCTACTAACTTCTCTATTTAAAAATTTTTGTATGGGTCTGTAGGCCTCTACATAAAAAATAAATAAAAAATTATGCTTAAAAAAACCAATAAAAGCCTAAGAAATCTTCATAAAACTACCCTTACTTTCATTTGTAGATCCTCAGAACTTTCTGTTGACATGTACAAAGAAAGCAGAACAGGTAAAGCGTTTGTGACTGCAACAGCCCGTGCATGTTCAGAAGTGTGTCGCCCAATCTGTCCTAAGGCCCAAGCAGCAGCTGCTTTAATATGATCCTCTGGTTCTTCTGACAGGCAGATTGACAGCTGGGGTACACCCTGTTGGGGTGATCAAAAGAGCAGGTGTTATAAATCAAGAAGAGGATTAAAGGGTTTTCTGCACCTCAAACACTAGGAGAAATTATTTTGGCCTTTTTTTCCCTAAATGTTTTAATAAATGAGCACATAACAGAGGCTCTCATTTCTTAAGTCCACAAAATATATAGAACTTAATTACTTTAAATATCTAGTTAACAACCTGTCTTAACTCAGAATAGCTTTTTCTCATCAGATAAAGGGACATTTAAACAAAGGACAGATGATATAGATGAAGCAAAACCATATTAGACTGTGGCTAACAAAGAGTTTAGAATCTTAAAAGCTTGTTTTCCTCTGTAAAAAGTTAATGTAGAAAGTTTAATGAAATTACCTTTTTGTCAAGTTTAAAAAATTATGAGAACTTCAGACCTAAAATCAAGCAATCTTTTGCTCCAGCCATTTATATTTTATCATCTGCGGGGGAGTATCATCAACCTGTGGTTGTGTCTTAGAGCATCTTACTGCAAAAACTGGGAGATGAAGCAAGAACACACCTTAGAAATGATCACGGCCATGGCCAGGTTCTCAGAATGAGCGGCCACATAACCAAGCATCATAATGCCAGGTAGCCGTGTGTTTCCTTTGCAGGTTCCAATACAGTCAGTCACTGCAGCCACCCCTCCTGTGTTAACAATCAGCTGTGAAAGCTAAGAGGCAAGAACAAGAGCTAACCAGTCATAACAGAAAGCATAAGATGATCTTAAAGTTAGCATGTATATACTTTATTAAGGATATAAAACTACTAGAAAATTGAAGTATCATTTAGAGAATTATATCTATTAAAATACACAACATAGGGGGCCAGGGAGATGACTCAGTGGAATAAGCACTTTCCTGTCAAGCACAAGGGCCTGAGTTCAATCCCTGGTTCCGCCAAAACAAAATACACGACATAATATCTTGTCATTAAAAACATCAAATATACAATATGTTCACTGTGAGAGGCTGTACTCTGTTGCTCATTTTTTTAAGTTCATCAGTAAAACAACTTTTTTCTCTAATATGTTAGATGTCAAAATTCCTCATGTAGACACTAAGTCTAGGGCTAGTTCATAGCTGGCTAACTACTGAAAGCCCCAGTCACAATGTATGAATATGAAGCAGATTAATCACTGAATGACAAAAGACAATGGTCAGACTGGAAAAATGTTAAACTAACCCTTTTGCTTATGATTAGAACCTGAGAACTGTGCCTCTTAGTAAAACCAGAGCCAAATAAAGATGTTAGATGAAAAGTAAATGAGGATTTTAACAAATAATTAACTGAAATTGATCAGTCTAACCATATAATGAAAAGAGATACTGCTGACATGTACAAAGAAAGCAGAACAGGTAAAGCGTTTGTGACTGCAACAGCCCGTGCATGTTCAGAAGTGTGTCGCCCAATTTGTCCTCAGAATCAACATGGGCTTGTTTTGGCTCTTCACCTAAGAATTCAAGAGCAAGAAATTTCTGCATAAGACTAGCTACTAGAATGGTCATTCTAAGTCAGAGATCTCTGTGACTGTCTCAACATGGTGGTATAATCTCATGCTTCTGACTGACATAAAATGGTAAGGATTAAAGAGGTTCACAGGTCTCACAGTCTAGAAATAAAAAATGGGAAATGACTGGAAACTGAGATTTTAAGTCAAACTCCATTAATATAATCCAGTGGTTCTCAACTGTAGGGTACAAGGAGAATTTGTCCACTAGGGAACATTATCACTGTGCAGAGAGATTTTTTGATTGTCACTTCCTGGGGGAGGGGTGCTATGGCATCCAGGGAGTGGGGATACTGCTGAAGGACAACTGTGCAATTTACAGGACAGCTCCCCACAGAATCACTTAATCCATAATGTTGTTCCAACAGAGGGTAAGAAAGCCCTGACCTGACCAGATCACATAGCAAAACCCTGTAGCCCCCAAGCGAAATGATATTTTATTTACAGACTAAAGGTACATAGTATTGTGTCTGGAAGCTGTTTAAAAATAATTTACCTCTGGTGTATGTTTTGCAATCTCTCTAATTAAAGTACATGCATTTTTCTTCACATATTCATCTTTGTCCTTCAGACAGGTAAGTACAACTGGAAAAATCTCTGCTTCAACAACCATTTCTGCCAGGTCCACAGAATGTTTTGAAATCTGACTCAGAGCTGAAAGGACCTGTTGCTTTTAAGGAAAAGCAAAACAAGATATTACTACATGGAGTATATTAGTGCATGACAGAGTTCAGCTGTAATTTAAACAGCTTTATACATATTTAGAGTCTTTTCTAGAAGGAAAAATTAGATACTGAACAGAACATTTCCAAGTTTTGAGGTCTTCATATCCTAGTCTCCTATTCATTTAAAAAAAATGCCCTAATTCCTAAATTGGTTCTGTAGTATTCAAAAACTGTATTTAAGATGATTAAATAATATGACCACTGGATGAATACTATTTCTGAAATATAATATTTGATTTATGATACATGTGGTAAGTTAGTATAAAAATGATTATGTAGAACATATTTTGGTATCATATTGACATTATTTCAACTAAATTTTCCATTACTTAGTTAACACAATCAATTTTAAAACTCTAGAATATAATTAATACAAAAAAGCATAATTAATAATTCACTATTAACTGAAGTATGCCCATTTTCATGCAAAATCTAAATATTACATTTGAAGCATTGAAAAACTTTAGCTCCCTTCTAACCCAGAGATCTGGTATCTTATTTTAATTTTTGATATTGACACTTATGCTACTTTTAATTTTTAACATTGCACATATTTTTCCCAATGAGACATTCATTCATTTATTTTTATATTTTATAAATTATATTTTAGAATTATTTTTACATATTAAAATGACAGTGACACAATATGTTCATACGCATTTATAATAACAAGTTACTATTATTTTTCAATTGTATAATTTGAATCTGTACACATTTCTATTTTGGGAGGTTGTAAGAAGTCTGGTTTGTTTGCCGCTTAGCCATATTGTAAAATACCTTCAATTTTGCATCAGGGTTGAGGATCGTCTGGGCTAAATGAGCAATAGCTCCTGCATCCACTACTGTTTGTGCTAATTCTGGAGAATGCTTTGAAATATCACTGAGTGCTGAAGCAGAAATCCTTTTCAAAGCAATTTCTGGTTCCTGGATACAAAGTACTAAGAGAGGAACAGCTCCTTCATCAACCACAGCTTGTGACAGTTCTGTGGGTCCAAGAAAAATAATTATGTTAGTATGTGTGCTGACCCTGACCCAGACAACAAAAAAGTGGAGAATGTACTTCTCAGCACCTGTATTTTATATCAGTATTCCTGGTTTCATAAACCATGTGGAACAATCTCGAGCTGAAAAGGATACAGGTCAATAGAAGGGCCTCTGTTTACATTGCATTTGAAGTAGATTAGGCTGAAATGGCTGGATATTATTTTTTTTTTTAAGTGAGCACAAGCAAATGTCATATGTGTAAGTTTTGATGAGTCTGCACTTCTAAACAGCATTTCATGTGCTAATTCTGAAATTTAAAATATCAAAAATTTATCAACTACACTAATTAGGCAGTATTTCATGCTATTTATGAGTAAAAATTAACATTAATCTTGTGTCAATAATCTCAATTTTAAAATTTCATCTACTTTTAAAAATTTATTTATTTATTTATTTGGTACAGTGTCTCACTATGCAGCTTAGACTTACAGTGATCCTCTTGTCTGAGCCTGCCGAGCACTGGGATTCTGGGTCTGGCACTGCATGCAATACTGGGAATCGAACCTAGCTACTTGCACCTGCCAGGGAGGTGCTTAGACTGCAGAACTATCTCTCCAGCCTGAGTGTTCAATTTTTGTTCCCTTAAATTAGTGCAATTCTCTTATAAGTCTCAATATTGTATAGACAGCCTGCTCATTCTTTCATTAAACAAATAGTAATGAGAAATTGCTACAAGTCAAACCTGCTCAATGCAGATGCCAGTGACTTTTCTGCAAGTCAACATTATGTTCACTAGCAAATGTTTTTATTTTTAAAGCTAGCATGAGATGTTATACAATGAAAAGTTCATTGAAGTGATCTGATGAACCAAAGGTAGATAAGAGGGCAACATGGAGTTTTATAAAGAGGACAGTAACAGGAGGACTGGGATATCAACCTGGCAATATAATAGATTCCTCAAAAGCAATTGCTAATTTGATGCTACCATAGGACAGCAGGCAAAATGTTTCCCTCTCAATCCCTCGCACCCAAGGGCAAGAAACAGAAGCTTAAGGTTATTTCTAAATACATATTTGGGCTGGCCAGATAGCTCAGTAGATTAAAGCTGCTGCTTTGGCAGCTGCAGGTACCAGATTTGATCCCTGGCATGCCATGCTGGTCCTGCCCCCAGAACTCCCTGGGACTGTGATTGAGACTGGCCATGGTGGCGGTGCCTGTAATCCCTGCACTTGGGAGGCTGAAAACAGGAGGATCACTAAAAGTCCAATCTCTGTAGTGAGACCCTGTACTACATACTTTAATAAATAAATAAATAAATAAATAAAATACTTATTTTCATTAATTATCCGTATGTTCCTTAAGAATTCAACTCAAATGGTACAGGTTTTGCATGGTAATATTAATATTATATGTACCTATTAGAATATTATGGGGCTTAACATGTTGTCTGTATCTCATGAAAGACTTTCATTGTACATAGTTTCTATGAGAAAAGAATCTGCAGAGAACAAGAGCTGTTTAAAAATACTGTTGTTGGCTGGCCAAACAGCTCAGCAGATTAAAGCACTTGCTTGGGCAGACACAGGGGCCAGGGGTTTGATCCCTTGCCTGCCATGTTGGCTTTGCCTCTGGGGCACATTGAGATGACCATTGAGACTGGGGTGGGGGAGCACTTCTGTAATCCCAACTTGTGGAAGGTTAAACACAAGTGGATCACTATGAGTCTGATTTATGTGAGACTCTGTAGACCCTGTACTAAATTGCAAAATAAATAAATAAATAAACTATTAACAGAGGCACAAATTAAAAAAAAAATATATTATCTTGATAATGCCCATACTGTGTGTGTGTGTGTGTGTGTGTGTGTGTGTGTTTGTGTGTGTGTGTGGTGTGTGTGCATGCACATATATGACTGAGGCTTGGGTTTAAGAATTTTTACTGAAATTTTGCATCCTTAACTCTTCTTTTTCTTTCCTTTCCTTTCTTTCCACTCTTCTCTTGTTGTGTCCTTTCCTGATCTTTCTTCTTTCTCTTTCTGTACTTGGAATTAAATTCACGAATTTATTGCTATCCAGGTAGGCACCTTACTGAGCTATCCTTATCTCTTTTAATTTTTTTATTTCGGGACAGGGTCTCACTAAGTAATTAAGTTGCCCAAGATGGGCTCAAATTTGTGATTCCCCTGCCTCAGCCTCCCAGAGTACCAGGATTACAGTGTTAGACACTACAATTCCTACATATTTTTCCTCACTCTGAATGACTTCTAGACTGCAACATATACAACTTTCACTGACACTACAATGTTACCAGTAAAGCAAACTGCTTTCCCATTTGTTACCCAATCCCATATGCTATAGCTTGTGTCTAGATGTCCTCAAAACCTCATGCAGCCACAATTATAGTGTTCAAAGGTGGCTGTATTTTGAATATGTAATACTGGAATTAAGTGTGTGATGCTGGAATCAAGGGATTGTAATTAGTCCACTGTCTTGTTTGGCAAAGTTCTGGGGGCAAATAATGGGAAACCCTCCTTGTGCAGGTATCCTGAATACAATACAAGGCATAGAAAGAAAGTTTCTGGGACCAGTGTCATTTTTTTGCTGGCTCATCTGTAACAGCTCTTTGCCATACTACTCTGCCTTGGAGGGGGCCTGGCCCTAGCTCAGTCCTTTAAGTGGCTGCTTCCACAAAGCTGTCAGCCTCAGGTTGCTGGAGTTCAAACCTCACAACTCTCCCACTGGCCAAAAGTGCCCTGAAGGCATTTGAGGAACAACAACAACAACAAAAAAAACCCTTACTCTGCCTTGGAGTCAGCCAGATTTGCAATAAAATACCTACAACTGTTGAGTCAATTAAATCTTCATTCCTTTCACTTTTGATGTCAGGTATTTTTTTCTCTTAGTTATAAGAAAAAACTAACATATCATCCTAAGATATTTTCTGTTCTCTTCAGAGAAGTGATGTTAAATGTCAGAAGACTGGGAAGAGACCCAGTGAAAGATTTGCCATGAAAGTAATGTAAATTCCAAGAACAAGAACTGGGACTAGTAATTTTGTACTTCCAATTTGTTTATCTTTGCATCTGCAAAAGTACATGATATACAAAATCAGGGTCTACTTTTGAGGACCATACACTGTTCCTTAGAAATATTGTTCTTACCTCCATAGGAGGTATGTGTAACATGTTGGTACTGAACTGCTCTGAAATTCATTGAACTTTTTTCCTGATACATTTTGACATGAAAATTCTGTCCCAGTACTTGCTGTATTGTAGTTGATACACAAGCTGGAACTTGTCAATGTGGACTGCCTCCTGACTGTCTACCATTACTGGCCAATTTGCTTGGTACTCATTATTTTTGTACTCAGCATGCCTCCTGGACCCAATCAATCATAAGGTATCACTGTATATAGGTAAAATACAACAGCCCTAAATATGCACCATACTATGTGTTACTAAGCTGCTGGCTATTTCAACCTACTTCTCTCACTAGTCTTTTTTGTGTGTTAACATACCTTTCTCCTCATCCCTATTTTTGTATCATTTGGTTTCTATATTAGGTACTTTTGGTGTCTGCCTATTAGCCTTCAGCAGCTAGAGCACAGACTTCTGAGCCCATCTATAAGACACCTATATAACTTTAAATACCTTTCTAAAACAGGCTTAAATCTTATACCTTTTAAAATAATCTGCAGCAGTATGGTATGCATAGGTGAATACAGAAAAGTGATACTCTATTTATTTTTAATTATTGAAGTTATAAAGGAAGAAGCACTGTAGTAATTACATAAGAAAATTCAGAGGAGAATTACAAGAAATTGTTAAAATTCTAAACAGCCTGCAACAGAGGTGTATGTGTGTGTGTGTGGGTAATCTAAGACTAATGTAACTAATTTTGCTGTTCATAATGGGAATGTAGGAAAGAACTGAAACAAAATTGAGTGATGCTTTTTTTTGTGTTAATTTTATTAAGAAACAAATAGCAATGAGACAGTTATAAAACTGATTAATAGAACGGTTTCAATAATTAATACATTACATTTTGTTATCTTCATAGTGGTTATTCATAGTACAAGATACAGACATAATATCCTGCTAAAATACTATTAATATAAATCTTTGTTTTCATTGAATTAAGAGAAAGTAACTACATATCTATCTTAAGTATTTTGCATATATGGACACAAAATTGTAGTTCATTTGTATCACCTTTTTTTGTTTAGTTTTGTCAGAGATGGGTATTCCATTGCCATTTAAATATTGCAGGTGCATGAATTCAGCTAAACAACCCAAAATACCCCAGTAGTCCATAATAGTAATGGGTTATCCACAGGACTGGCAATGTCAGAAGATGTTGACTTGAGCCTTTTACAGCTCAGCATATTAATATGACTTTACTTTTCATACCTCTTTATTATACTTTTCTACTGGATGGTTAAGAACAAGATAAAGCAAGATCTATAGAACAAGAAATGTAACTAAAATTGAGTGATTCTGAGCACTCATAAAAAGTAATCATGAAGAGACTTCCCAAAAACACAAAAAAGGAGACAAAAAATATGCATTAACACACACATCAAAAATTAGAAATAGGGGCTGGGGAGATGGCTCAGTGGAGTAAGTATTTCCCTGGCAAGTGCAAGGCCCTGAGTTCAATCCTTGGTCCCCCTCCCAAAGAAAAAAAAAAATTAGAAATAAAAACCTGTGGAATTCTCATTTAGTTAACTTATTACTTTTATAATTTATCAAAATTGCTTTTAACTGTGGCTTCTCCACTGTACAAAAGGTATGTTTTAATCTGTTTCATTCAAAAATATAAGAAAGTCAGGGGCCAGGCATATAGATCAGAGGCACGGTGGCTGCCTGGCAAGTATAAGGTCCTGAGCTTGATTCCTGTACCCAAATATACCCAACACTTACATGATCCTATTTATCAATTTAAACAACCATTTACTGTTTCATAGTTTCTGTAGGCCATAAATGTGGTAGTGTCACACCTGGGTGATTTAGGCTAAAGGCCTCTCACTTACAATCAAGATGTCACCTGGTTGTAGTATCCTTCTGAGAATACTCACAATAGTGATGAGAGGAATCTTCGGTTCTTTTTCAAGTGGGTTTCTAAACAGGATGCACTTGATGAAGCTTCCAACAGAGTGGGAGTAATCCAAAGAAGAGGACTCAAGATAGCAGCCAAGGAGGTTATAATCTGACCTTAGAAGTGGCACCCCATCAGTTCTGCTATAGTTTACTGGAAGACTGGGGGAAGATACTCCCCAAGGATATTACTGCTACAGAATAAGCATCACTGAAGGACTTTGTAGAACTTGACTACCAACAATACTTCTGTGAGACAACAACTACAGATAACAGTGACATACATTAGCTGGAACTTAAGCTCAATGACTGGCATTTCTTTCTCTTTTTTTTTTTTTTTCATGTATTTGGTACAGGGTCTCACTACACAGCTCAAACTCATTGTGATCCTTCTGTCTCATCCTCCCCAGCACTGGGATGACCATGCCCGGTCTTGACATTTCTAATTGCAGGCAGAAGTAAGAAAAGCATGGAAAGGCAATTTGTGTATTATGAAAGTCTCAGGGCTGGCCAAATAGCTCAGAGGATTAAAACACATGCTTAGGCAGAACCTGTATTAAAAATCCACCCCCCCAAAAAAAGACTGAGTTTTTCTGCAAACAGATGTAAGGGCCAGTAGTTCAATCCCCAGGCCTGCTGTGTTGGCTTTGCCTCCTGGGCATGGTAAGACCATGATTGAGATTGGGTGTGGTGCTGCCCCCCTGTAATCACAGAATTTGGGAGGCTGCAAACAGGAGAATCACTGAGTCTGATCTAGTAGTGAGACACTGAACACCCTGCAGACCCTTTCCTAAAATCCAGAAAAACAAAACAAACAAAAAAGACACATGTGACATTGCTCTCACACAAATATTATTTTTTCCTATATTCATTATTTCTTGTTTCTGTTTTCTTGTTTTATTTCATTACTTCTTTCTGTCTTCCACCCAAGCTTTAAAACCATTGGTTTAGCCCTAACACTTGGGTTGAGTATTTGAGCATTCAAGCATTTACATATATACATTTAATTTGAAGACAATAATTTTGGCTCTTTTAAAAAGCCAAGAGACTCAAATATGTTTTGTGTCTAAAGGCTGTTTGAAAGCCACTGATCTTCACCAGAAATATTTAAACTGACTAGATACAGCTGCACATGTCTTTAGTTGTAGCTACTCAGGATGCTGAAGCAGTCTTTCAAAGCTGCCTACTTTATGATTTTACAACTTTCAGCATGTGAAGTGTGGGGCCTTGCTAACTCTTGAGATGCAATCAAGACATCTTTTCTATTTTCTTGAGTTATTTTTAATGCTAATCTTTTTAACAATTTTACTCTCCTTTTTCCATTTTTTCTGACAAAATGATAAATTTTTAAAATGGACTTGTTGCTCTGGATTTTCACGATAAATCTGGCAGAAGGCATACAGAAGCACCCATGTCACAGCCTGATTGTTGGAATGCCTTGGAATTTCTCTCTTCAGATTAATCATTCTGATTTAATCTTGGTCTCTTCTAGAACCTCAGGAAATGAGCAAAATGTAGAAATTTTCTGCCAGTGCACAACACATGTGGCCTCAAGTCCTGACACTGAAATCCTTATTTCCAATGGAAACCTCTTGAATGTGGCCTTTATTTTCTACTTTTCTATCAACATTCCAGTCTTCTGAGCCTTTGCTAAAATCTCCCATCAATCTTCACGTACAACATTATAGAGCTTCAATTGTTAACATCTCGAAATCATTTCAAATGCATTCTGTGAGCCACTCATTGCAAAGTCATTCCATGAACTGCTTCCAAATGCTTTTAAACAACATGGTTAATCATGGCAGTTTTCCCACTCCCAGGAACAAATCTTCCTTTTTCAGTTTTCCATTGCTCAACATAATAGGTAGCATTCACAACTTAAAAACATGAGAAATTTATTTTGGCTCACAATTTCATAAGCTCCAGTCCTTATATGGTTTTTGGACTCCAGGGAGGAAACACCATATAGAAGGACCTAGGCAAGGGGTGGGGAGATGGCTCAGTAGAATAAGCGTTTGCCTGGCAAGTGCAAGGGCCTGAGTTCAATCCCTGGTTTCACCAATAAAAAAAGGACTTAGACAGAGGAAATCTGCTCACATCATGGTGGTCAGTAGGATTCTTTTATTGAGCTTGAGTTTTAAAGCAGGCTTTTTAGGGTAAGCATGAATGTTTTCATCACTTAGTTTCTGTCAATCTGCCTTCCATAATTTAATGAAGTTTATAGTTCCTTCAAAGTCATTTATAATTTTTTACTGAGATGTGATCTCACTGTTTTGCCTATTCTGGCTTCAACTAATGATCTTCTTACTTCAGTGTCTTTCAGACTTACAAATAGCATAAACTACAGATGTATACCAGACTAAGAATCATAAACATTGTAAGATACTTTTCAATATTCAATATTCACC